GGGTAAGAAAGATTAATCCATCAGTCATATGAACTAACACATCCATGTTTTAATCTGTTGATTTGATGAGCATGAATCGTCTGGGTTCTGTGGGCTGTGAGATGTCCACTGCCGGCCTCCTTTGCTCTCTTCTGGGTCCTAGCTGTGTTCTGTATAGGCGAGGATGCTGGGTAAGTGAGGCCATGGGGGACTTGGCCATGGCTTCTTTCCTGGTCAGTGACTTGTAATAACTCTTCTCCTTTTTCCTATGGGTGTCATGAGCTCCCCTAGGTTCCTAACCGGTAGGCATGGGGCAGGCATGAGAATCTGTTTCATCATAAGTGAGTCTAATGTACGGGAAGTCTACATTAGACTCCGTCTGTGGGGAAGTCTGAGGCTCAGAGAGGGGTAGCAACTTTTCTGAGGTCACATGGTTAAGTCAGGTTCCAAGACCAGCCTAGAGCTGGGAGCTCTTGACTTCCCATCCAGGGCACTTCCTACTCTTCTAGGTTCCCTCGCTGCTGTGGGTGTCCCTCCCTGGGTGGGCCCTGCTGGATTTCTTGAACAAACACCCCCTTTCTCCTGCATCTGGCCCACAGTGTTGTCTATGAGAATGCCGCCTGGCTACGTGCAAAAATAAATGCAGCTCACAGCTTGCTTTGAAAGGAGGGCATGTGTGTGCTGGGTAGGTGGGTAGGGGAGCATCCACCTGGTGCCCTGTTGTCAGCAGGAGGCCAGAAAGACAGGGTCGCGGAGGACAAACTAGAGCGGGACCCGCAGAGCTCAGAGCAAGGGGTGTTCGGCGTTGGGGAAATGTACCATCCACCCTTCGTCCTTTTCTCTGCCGTGAACTCCCTCACTCTTACCTCAGAACCTAATCACAATGATCACAATGACAGCAATAACAGTAGAGGTTTGTCACTGAGCACCCGCCATCGCTAGCCCCTGTGCTAACACTGCCCACAGGCCAGAGAATTCAAGTTTACAACATGCTGAACCAGTGCTCACAACCCCAGCCACTTAAAGTGTGGCCTCAGCTCAGCATCACCAGCTCAACACCTGCCCCCTCTCCCCGCCACTCCAGCCACTCCAGCTTGTTAGTAAAGCAATGTCTCAGACCCCACCCAGGTTTATTGAATTAGAATACGCATTTCACCAGGACCCCAGGTGATTTTTGTATACATGAAAGTTTGAGGAGCCCTGCGCCATCACAGCACCCCAATTCCAGTAACAGCCCACCACTGATAACTACAGCTAATAGTTGTGGAGCCCTTTTTGTGTGCCTGGGGCTTTGTACATAGAATCTGATTTAGCCTTCATAAGCTGTCAGAGGTAGGCGTGATTATCACTTCCGTGTTACAGATGAGAAAACTGTAACCCAGAGAGGTTAAGTAATTAGCCTGAGAACACACAGCCTGTAAGCGGCAGAGCTGGGATTTGAATAGTCTCTCTGAGACCATTGTCCTACAGAGCCTGAACCTCTGGGATGGAGCCTAGACACCAACAATGTTTCAGGGGTTTTTGTTGCCCACTAAAATTGCAGACCCAGTGCCTCAGATCACTCAGGGTGGGATTGCAACGCCCGTTTTACAGTCAAGGGCAACGAGGCCCAGAGTTTTTCTGTCCTTATGCCAAGGTGGGAAACTGACTGACTGGCCTAATGGGTGGCACACTGGCTTGGGAGTCAGGTGGTTCTGGCTTTAAGTCTCTGCTCCTCTCCTTCCAAGCCTGGAGCTATACTGGGTCTAGAGCAGATTGGCAAATCCAGCCCACAGGGTGTGGGTAGCTTGCAAGCTAAGAATGGTTTTTACATTTTTCAATGGTTGGGGGAAAAAAATCAAAAGAAAAATATCTCGTGACACGTGAAAATTCTGTAAAATTCAAACTCCAGTATCTGTAAAGATTCATTGGAACATAATCACTCTCATTTATATATTGTCTATGGCCGTTTCCCTGCTACAGAGACTGTATGGCCTACAAAGCCTAAAATCGTTCTGACTCTTTACAGGAAGTCTGGCAGCTCCTGGTCCAGAGCAGTGATTCTCAAACTTTAGCTGCATCAGAATTACCTGGAGGGCTTGCTAAAACACAGATTGCAGGGCCCGGTTCTGATTCAGTCAGTCTGGGTGGGGCTGGAGAACCTGCATTTCTGACAGCTCCCAGGTGGTACTGATGCTGCAGCCACACCTTGAGGACCTTGGTTTTTAGAGCAGCGGTTCTCAACCTTCCTAATGCTGCGACCCCTTAATACAGTTCCTCATGTTGTGGTGACCCCCAACCATAAAATTATTTTCGTTGCTACTCTATAACTGTAATTTTGCTACTGTGATGAATCGTACTGTAAATATCTTTTGGTTTCCGATGGTCTTAGGCGACCCCTGTGAAAGGGTCGTTCGACCCCCAAAGGGGTCGCGACCCACAGGTTGAGAAACGCTGGCTTAGAGGAACTTGGGTCTTCAAAGCTGACTCTCAGCCCCTCCCTGGAAGCTCACAGCCCTCCCAGGAAGGGGGATGGGCTTGGGAGAAGATAGGGAGGAGCAAGAAGCTCCCATCCTGGGGGGGAAAGGGGGGGGTGCATCTCACCTATAAGTCAACCAACCCGGCATCCAGCCTGCCTTTCTCTTGGTGTCTGCTCCCCCCTGGTGGCAGCAAGCCTGGAGCTGGCCTGGCAGTTCCGCCTTAACTGCCCAGCCCTCCATCTGGAAACCCATCTCAAAGCCTTCAAAGTTTGCACATTCTTTCCCCTAGGCTAGGGAGTCCACTTCTAGGAATTTCATCCGGGAAAAGAATCAAGGATGTGTACCAGGAAGCTCACTGTTGCACCATTTGTTTATAAGAGGGTAAAATAGGAGACCAGGGGCAGTCACTTGACATGGTCACATAGCTGGTAAGAAGCCCAGGCAGGATTTGAACTTGGGTCTGTCTGACTCAAGAGCCAGTGCCTCAGAGGAGAGTAGGTCCTGCAGGAGAGCTAGCTGGCTTGAAGCAACACTAGAGACAAGCTCTGATTTCTTGGCTATGGCCAGCTTGGCCTAGGCCCTTCCAGGGAGATGGGGTGCCCTGCATGTGCTCAACACCAGCAGCAAAATCTGTCCTTGGGGTGAAGTATAACCCCATACAGACAGACCCAACTGCAGAGGCTTGAGAATATGGACACTTGAGGTCCAGTGGGGTCAGGTGAGAGGCTGGAGCACTGTGGAAGGGAGCTGCAAAGGGGATTCCAGCAGATGAGGGTGGCAAGGAGGTGGTATGTTTACAGGTTTAGCAAGAGCTTTGAGCCAAACAGAAGCAGTTTGTTTCTCCAATCCCAGCTGTGTACCTGTCAGCTGTGTGACTCGGGGCAAATTGCTTGCCCTCTCAGAGGCTCAGATTATTATCTATAAAATGGGGAGAATACTATGTACCTTCTAGGATTTGTGGTAGGGACTGAATGAGCTAATGTATGTAAAACACCGGGTGCACAGTAACTCAATTGTGGTGTGGTTGCTATTATTATAACTGTTATTACTAGTCTCAAAGACCAGACAAACAGTTGTACTGAAAGGGCTGAGCAGCAAAAGAAGCCCCAGCCCCTGGACAAAAGGCTCCAGGTATCTCTCAGAAAACCTGAGGTTGGGGCAGGTCAAAAAAGGCCAGGCCTGAGGCCCAGGAGATGGGCGGAAGCCATGACCAATGAATGGAGCATTGAGAAACAGGCCAGCCCAACAGGAAGCTGGACTAGTGCCATGACCCTAAATGATAGGCTAGAGTGCCTTAAATCCCTCCTACCTCAGGTCAGGATTGGCTGGTGGTCTTAGTGGACTAGGGCTAGTAGGGAGGGGCTGTAGAGAGCAGGTGCAGGGCTGGGACTCTGGGCAAGTCATATGCCTGTGGGCTTGGCCAATCCGGCAGCGAGTCTTTATTGAATGGCTGCTGTGCATCTTGGGCTCTGTGGGATTCAGAGATGGGCAGTGTCCAGTTAGGCTAAGGCACTCATAGCCTAATTGGAGAGATGGAGTGGGCATGAGTGAAAAGCCAGATGTAGGCTGTGCATGCTCAGACCTGAGCAAGTGGAAATGGGGTTAGAACAGGTCAGAGGAATGAGAGCTGTGAGGCTGCAGCGGTTGGCTTTCAGAGAGGAGGTGTTGCTTGAATGAGGTTTTTAAAAATGCTCACTTAGATAAGCAGAGTGGAAGGGGAACAGTGAGAATGAGGGCAGTGAGGCAGGAAAGCATGGAGGTTGCACAGAATATGGAAAGGGCCCAGTTGGTCTGGAGTGGAATATCCTTTGTCAAGCCAAGGAGGGAGTCAGACAGAAAAGTCAACCCATAGAGAGCCTTGAAGGCCAGGTTCATGGGCTGGGACTAAATCCAGCTGGCAGTGGGGAGCCACTGAAAGTTATTGAGCAGGGGAGTGACATTTGTTCTAACTGGATGGCTGAGTTTGTGCCAGGTTGCAAGATATTGGGAGGGAGAGTATGTGGAGAGAATCAAAAGGGGAAAGCTCTTGGCTTCAAGGTCAGTTGGGACTTTGGAGGAAGGTCCCTTGATCCCTTGGGTAGGTACCTGTGATGTTATAAGCAGAAAGCCCCTTTAGGGGCTGGCCTAGATATGCTGCCTTGAAAGACATTTTGGGTCATCAGTAGGCAGACCTACCCTTGAATCCCAGCTCTGCTGTGGACAATTCATTCATCCCGCCGATCCTCAGTTTTTTCCTCTGTAAACTGGGCACAATGCAGCCTATCTCCAAGAATGAGTGTGAGGATTAATGAGAGAATGAGGAAAGGGTCTAGCCCAGTGCTTGGAGCATAGTAGGTACTTAATAGATGGTGTTTCCTCCCCATCTCCCACTTTGTGGCTGTCACAGAGCTGGACACAGTGTATGGTCCTCCAGTCACCTCCAATTAGATAGAGTTTCTGTTTTCAGATGTCATTCATTCATTTATTCATTCACTGTTCAGTCATTCAACCAGCATTCAAACAGCACTTCTGAGCACCTACTATGTGCCGGGTGCTAGGACATAGAGTTGAATTAGACAACTGTTCCTTGGCCTTGAAGAGTTTATTTACTCTTTTATTCAGCATCCATGGAGCCCTGCTGTATGCTTTGGCCGGATGGGGGTGGTGTTGAGGGTAAATTGAGCATTACTGGCAGGCAAGGGGTTGAGAAGGGGGTGACTCAGCCCCATAGGTCACACCTCTGGGTCTGGGAAGAGCAGGAACCCAGAGAAGATGCTGTTGGCACCGTCGATGCCCAGCAGGGAGTTCTTTTCCGTGGCTTGCAGGAAGACGTTCTCCCCCTGCTGAAGCTTGAGGACCATGCTGCCCATGGTGACCTGGAAGGTGTTCTGGGTGTAATCACAGAAGGTGGCCACCTTCTGCACGCGGTCCCGGCCTCGGACGAGGTTCACGCATAGGTTCCCTCGTGAGCTGGCGTGGTAGGTGAAGTAGTAGAGGCCGGGCACCCTGCAGGTGAACTTGCCACTGCGAGGTTCATAGTTGTTGTTGGCATTGGTGATCACGTGGTCGAAGCGGATGGGCTGGTCCTTCCGCAGGAGCGTGTTGATGGTCCGCGTGGCAGAGAAGGCGATTTTCTGCGTGGCCTTGTAGTCTCCTGATTCACCCTTGGGACCACGGGCTCCAAGGGGCCCTGGAGAGCCTTTGGGGCCCACAGGGCCCTTGGGGCCGACTTTTCCTGGCTTTCCAGGAGTCCCTGGGTCTCCTTTTTCTCCGAACTCGCCATGGTCTCCAGCTAGTCCTGGCAGCCCTGGAAAAGCAGAAAGGAGAGGCTGAGATCACAAAACCAAAGGAAGGGGCCCTGGGCTGGGAGGCAGGGGGCCTGGCCATGTAACCTTGGACAGGTCCCTGCTCCTCTCTGAGCCTCAGCTTCCCATCTGTGAAAACCAGGGGGCTGGTCAGAGAGGGCCTCCAAGTTCCCTTCCAGCCAGCTTTCCAAGTCTGTGATATGCTTGGCAGAATTGGGGACTGACACCTGTGGGTGGGAAGCAGTGTCTCCTTAAGGAAGGTGCTGAGCTGGTCCTCCTCACCAGCTCATATAGAACCCTTGTTCAGGTATAAGCCTGGATCAGGGATAATGAATGCTTGGCACATGTGCTATCCCGCCCCCTCCCTCGTGGCTGACATCCCTAATCAATCCCGGCATTCTTTCTTGCTAAACTTGGAAGTGGGCCTTCAAATCCTCCCACTCCATCACTCCAAGCAGCCGCTACCCCTCGGTTTGGCACAACACAAGATAAAACCTCTTTCCCTGTAGAGTGGCAGAGTTTAGTGGCTGAGACTGTGGGCTCAGAGGACAGACAAATGTGCTTCTCACATCACGTCTGCCATTGTCAGTTGTGCCACCTTGACTGAGTCAGAGTCTCTGAGGCTCAGCTTCCTCATCTGTAAAACGGGGATGATGAGATTTCGTAGGATTAAAATGAAATTATGTAGGGAGAGTGGGAGGCTATGGGTAAATGAATGAATGAACTGGACTTCACGGGTGGGGGGGGTTGTCTTTACAGCACAATGTCTCATTTGAACCCTGTGACAACCTGCAAAAGTATCATTGTCCTGATTTTACAGGTGAGGAAATAAGCAACGCAGAGAGGTGAAGCCATCTACCCTGGAGGCGACTCAGGGCTGTGTGACTGTGGTGGCACTCTCTCTCTACCTGGGTTAGTGGTAAGGGGTACGTGGTCTGGTCTCAGCCTCAACATTTACTAGGCTCCTTTGGGCAAGTCAGTAGCCTTTCTGGATATCAGTTGTCCTGTCTCTAAAATGGGAATCAGAATTCCCTCCTTGCAAAGTTATTGCTAGGGCTCAGCAAGCTGATGGACTTATAAGTGCTTTTGCCATCTCTAAGGTGGGCAACCGTGACTTGGGAGGCAGGAGGTGGGGCCTTGGTCAGTGACACTCGTTTGTCTAAGAGTCTGCAGTACCTTTCTCTCCCTTTGTTCCTGGGGTCCCAGGTACGCCGTCGGAGCCCGGTATCCCAGGAATCCCCGGGGTGCCAGGGATGGCCGGGTGCCCAGTGCAGCTGTTCTGGGCCTGGGAGACATCTAGTGAACCTAGGAGCAGCAATGGCAGCAGTGCCAGGACGCCACCCCTTGGGCTCTTCATCATTGCACTGTCTCAGCTGCTTCCTGTAGGGGGATAAGAAGATGTGGTAGGTTACTACTGTGGTGACTTGTCATGTTTTTTTATTTGTTCATTTGTTCGTTCGTTCATTCATTCATTCATTCATTCATTCATTCAGTTTGTTCGTTTATTCAGTCGTTCAGTTATTTGTTTGTTTGTTCCGCCATCATGTGTTCTCTGAGCTTGTCCTGTCTACCAGACCCTGTTCTGAGTGCTGGGAATACAATGGTGAACAAAAAAGATATGTTCTCTGCCTTCCTGGAGCTGACATTCTGTGGGAAGATTGATGATAAACAGGTCAACATACAAGTGAACAGAAACAGTTAGAGACAGTAATGAGCTCTGCCAGGAAGGGAAGGGTATCCAGAGGGAGAGTTCCTGGGCTGGGGTGGGAGGTGGCTGGTTTTGTGAGGGAAGTCCTCCCACCAGGAAAGCTTTCTAGTCAGGGGAGGCGTCTCTGAGCAGTGATGTGTAGGCCAAGACCTGAAGGTTTAGAAAAGGCCTGGGTAAGGATGTCCCAGGGGCAAAGGACAGTGGGGCCAGACGCCCAGTGGTAGGACAGAGCCTGGAAGGCGGAGGACCGGCAGGGAGGCCGGTGTGGCCAGAGGGGAGTGAGGGGTCAGAGTGACAGGAGGTGAGGACCTGAGGGCTGGGGTGTGCGGGTTTTGGATTTTATTCTAAGTGTTCTCATGAGTCAGGGTGCCTATGCTGCTTGCACAGTGGGCCACTTTACATCCTGGGAGCTGCCCTAATTATTTCAACACTGAAGAGGACCCTGAAGCTCAAGGTAGCCAAGCCATTTGCTTGGGGTCACATAGGAAGAACTGCGGCCAGGACTCAAACCCAGGCCTGGCTGGCACTGAAGCCGGTGTCCCTGCCAGCATCCCAGCTCATCTCTTCTGGTGCAATATTCTCAGGCCCCTCCAAAGGGCTGTGGGCCATGGTGAGAGGGCAGTGCTGACCGTTTCTTAATCCCAGAGAACCAGAAGCCCTAGGCTGTCTCAAACTGCTCAGCCTAGCCGGTAACCCCTGGTATGAATTCTCAGGATGGAAGGGACCCTAAAAGTCATCTAGTCCAACCCTTAACCTATTCTTTTTAAAAAAAATCGAGCTGACATTTACATAAATTTGATTATTTTAAAGCAAACATTTCCGTGGCATTTAGCACATTCGCAATATCATGCAACTACCACCTCGATCAAGTCCCAAAATATTTTATCACCCTAAAATAAAACTCTGTACTCATTAAACATATTCCCCAATCCCACTTTCCCCCTCAGCCCCTGACAACCACTAATCTGCTTTATGACTCGACCAATTTAGTTGTTCTGGACATTTCATAGAAATGGAATTACACAATATGTGACCCTTTTTGGCTGGCTTATTTCACGCTGCATAATGTTTTTAAAGCTCATCTGCATTGTACTATGTATCAGTATTTTGTCCCTTTTTATGGCTGAATAATATTCCATTGTATGGACATAGTACAATTTGTTTATCTATTCATTACTGATGGGCATTTGGGAAGTTTTCACCTTTTGTCTATTGTGAATAGTGTTGCTATGAACATTCATGACCAAGGATTTGTTTGAAAACCTGTTTTTAATTCTTTGGGGTATATACCTAGGAGTGGAATTACTGTCCTGGGTATTATGGTATTTCTATGTTTAACTTTTTGAGGAACCCTCAGGCTACTATTAAGTCTTCTCAATAACATCTTTACTGAGGGCTCTTCCATCCTTGGCTTGCATCATCTCAGTGGTGGGCAGCTCATTATCTACCAAGGCAGCTCATTCCGCCTTTGCCCAGATCCAAATTCTTCCCATCCTTTAAGGCTCAGGTCAAAGCCTTCCTCCTGCAGGAAGACTTCCCTCATTACCTTCAACCTACAGAAGCTGAGCTATTTCCTGCTCTGAAAATGAGAGAGCAGAGTGGCCCCTGCCCACGCCTGAGGATAACTATGGGGACCCATGTGAGGCTCATGGAGTTTTGAGCTCTTGTTCAGACTTGCTGCTGCTGTGGTCTGATCTTCACAGTACCCTGGGGAATTGGGTTGTGATTATTTTTCCATACTGCAGATGAGGAAGCCGAGGCTCAAATATCAGAGAGCAACCTGCCCGCAGCTGCCTGATGAGTTGGTTAATGGCAGAGCTGTGGCAAAACTCATGCCCCCTCTGCCTCAACCCAGAATTTGGCATGTGGAAGTTTTCCTGGGACCAGAAAAACCTGCTGGTTTTTGGCTCATGTGCTCAGAAAATCAGCCTTGCCCCCTCAGTCTGGTCTTGATCAATTAATTGCCCCAAACCCTGAGTTATGCCAGACCCTGTGCTGGGCACCCAACACAGGGAGGCCACAAAGCGGGCACGTAACCAGGGCTGCGAATGACTGGCTTAGTCTCTACCCTGTTCCAAAGAGAAAATGACTCAGAAGATCCTACTTATCTTTGAATGAGCTTCAGTTCCCACTCTTGTTGGAGGTTTTACAAAATGACAGTTTGACGACTTGAATAATCCATGCGCTGGGCACTTAGCGGGTGCCAAGCTCTGTGCCAAACACTTTGCATGTCATTGTCTCATTGAATTTGGCCCTTACAACAGCTCCCTGAGAAAGCATCCCTGAGTTTTCATTGTACAGATGAGGAAGCTGAACACAGAGAGGGCGAGAACCTTGATTGAAGTTACACAGCCCCGTGTGGCTGGGATTCAAACCCACACCCGCTGGATCTTAAAACTCACAGGGTGTTACATTAAGAGGCTGTTGTACTTGGTGGTGAAAACATGGGCTTTGGAGCCAGACGGCCCATACAGAAGGCGCTAATGCATGGGCTGCATTTAGAGCAATGCTGGGTCTGAAGCCGGCGCCTGGGGAGGGGGGGCTTTTATTGTCACTATTATTGGTGCTGATAGTCAGCAAGCACTCACCAGAGGTGAGGGATCTGGAGTGTTATAAGGAAAGCAACTGTCGGGGTCCCAATCAGACCTGTGCCACTTAGCTAAGGGCCTCAAGCGGGTCACATCTCTTCCCCTGCCAGTTTCCCTGTTTATAAAATGAGGATAATACTAATCTCTACCTCATAAAGTTGGTGGGAGCACAGGTGAGTTAAGGCTTACAGCAGCGCCTGGCATGTTGGAAATGTTTACTGAATGTTAGCTATTTAAAAAAGTATCACCATCATCCAAGAATCCCCAAATTTGGGGACGTGACAGAAGTTAGTTGGAAGGAAGATCTGGTCCCTTTGAGAGATAAGGCTCAGGGAGAGGGGGGTCTCACAGGCAGAGGCAGCCCAGGGATGGAGAGCTCTGACCAATAAGGTGGGGGTGGGATACGGGGTGGGGTGCAGGGTCCTGACCTTGGGGAAATGAGAGGTAGGGTGAGTCATGGAAAGATCTAGGTTCTGGCCCATTTTAGGGACCACTGAGTCTCCGACTTGGGTTCAGAATTAAAACTCATCTGGTCTGACTACCCCCTGCCTTCACCATGCATGACCACCATCAGCCTTACCCCTCACGTCCTTCCCCACATCACTGACCCTTTCATCTTCCAGCCTTCCAGCCCCAACAGTCCCTTTCCGTCTCACTTGGAGTCAAGCCAACTTGACCTTGAACCCTGCCCCCCACCCTCCCCCCCAATCTGCTACTATCTCACTGCATGACCCCAGGCAAGTACCTGAACCTCTCTGAGCCCCTTTGGCAAAGTTAGCTTCTCTCTGACAGGACTGCCAGAGGATTAAATGGTCTCGGGTGTGGTGCCTGATCCCACCCCCTCCTTTACAAACATTGAGCTCCTTCAGTACTAACTAACCACAATTCCACCTGCGAGTCAAATTAGTTCCTTGAAAGGGTGAAGCTGAGTTTTCTCAGCGGACTGCAAGGAAATATGAGAAGTCAGGTGTCGGAGCAATGCTGGGCTGGGCCGAGGGGGACCTGGGTTCTGATTTTCCCCTCTGCCTCTGACATATCTTGATGCAGGTAGTGTGCTAAACACTGGGCACTGGGTGGGCTCGATCTCCTTTAGGACACACAGCACCCCTGAAAGGTTCTGTTCTCCCCAGAGAGAGTCTCAGGCTGAGAGGTTGACTTGCCCCAGATCGCCAGCACCTAAGAGACAGAAACAGGACTCAGCTTGAGTCTCGGGGACCCCAAAGCCCTTTTGCTGGTGGCTCCCCATTTTAGATTGCCTCCCCATCACCTGGAGACCTGGGTAGCAGCAGACCCCCAAGCTCACCTCCAGAAAGTTTGATTCCCAAGGTCTGGGATTGGGCCCGGGCAGGAATTCACACTGTCAAACACCCCAAGTGGCACGCACTGAGGCAGGGGATGTAAGGCCTACACTTTGGGAGTCAACACCCTCCGCCATATTGGTCCTGCTGGCCAGTCCCCCCAGGCACTGAGCCCCATCCTCACCTGGGAACCTGGCGTCCTGTGATGCTGTTTGGCCGGGCAGCAGTGGGACCAGGAGCTGGGAGCCTGCTGTTCTCTGTCCAAAGCGGAAGTTCCATTCCCCAGAGACGGGAAGGGCCTTTCCCTGACGGCCCCCTCCCATGGGCCCAGCAGGCCAGCCCCCTCCCTGTCACTTCACTTTCACCCTGTCCTGCTGCTCTCAGGCAGTTTCAGGTCCGGTTTTTGCAATCTGGAGGTGCTTATTGTAAGTGGGTGGATGGGTGGTGAGTTTGGTTTCGCCAACTCAGCAGCTGTGGGGGGAACAGGCTGTGCTAGGAAATGTCCACAACTGGTGGCTCAGTGCCAGGACCTCTGATCTCATGATCTTCTACAGGGAACAGGGGTGTTCCTCAATGAAATGAAAATGCGGCCGGCCTGGTGTCTGGACACTGGATTTAGAGTCAGACACCTTATTTCATAACCTGACTCTGCCATTTACCAGCTAAACGTTCTCAGCCAAGGGAACCCAAGAGAGCCCCGTTTCCTCTGTTATATGATGAGGCCATAATGACACCTGCTCTACAGAAAGCATGGAGCACGGGGGCAGGGGGCGGGGGAGATTCAGATAGGACAGTGGAGGAGAAAGGGGAGGGTTAGCTGCAAAGTGCAGTGAGCATGTTAATTGTTAATATCACGCCATGTCCCAGGCATCCCCTTTCTGGGCTCATCTCTTCTGCTTTCTTCCCAGTCTGCACTCCTGCTCTTCTCCTGTTCTCAGAAAATAATCTAGTAATGAAAAATGAATTTTAAATGTGGTCATTATTTATTTATACCCCTTCCTCTGCTTCCAGCAGGGCTTGAAGCTGATCACAATACTAGGCACTCGCAGGGGGCCCTGTTGCTTGTTGATCCTGGAATCACATGAAGTTGGGGCTGGAGCGGGGCTCGGAGGTCACCCAGCTCATCGTCCTTGTCTCATATATGGGGAAACTGAGGCTCAGGGGGGAGAGATTTATCATGAGCCGCTATGTGCTTGATGCTGGAGATAGGGCCACAAGCAGACCAGCCTGGTTCCTGCCCCCATGGAGTGTCCCTTCTACTGGGGGAGACTGGTGTGAAGCATCAAACGGCACAATAGTTTCATTGTTCCTCTGATAAATGTCACAAAAAGAAGTGACTGCTGAAGCCCAGACCTCATGCAACTGGCAGATGCAAGCCTCAGAGTCAGGCATCCTGGCACCAGATATCAGCCCCTTCCTGAGGCTGCGTCTAAGGTGATGTGACGCCCCTCTCAGGGGTGGTTGCCCAGCAAGCACCAGGCCAGGAGGGCCCTTCTCGACGTCTGTGCTTGGAGATAGAAAATTGTCAAGCTTGTGGATGCTGCTTGATGGAAATCGTTAACTGTAGTGGGTAAAAAGGCTAGTTTGACAAAACCAAAGGGTTTCTGGGCTTAGCCAACTACAGACCCAAAGGGACCGAAGCCTGGGTGAGGAGGAGACGGTGGTGGTTTCTGGGCAGGAAGAGAGGGGTTAGGAGGGTGCAGGTCCAGGGGTCTGTCTGAGGGTTCCTGAGGCCACTTGGGCCTGGCCTCTAATTCTTTGGTGGCTGATGGCAATGGGAAAAGATGGGCTTTAACTTGGGGGTAGAAGCAGCAGGGAAGGGGGGAAGGGCATGGCTTTGGAATCGGCCCCTCCCAAGTTTGAATCCCGGCTCTGCCTCTTTCTGGTTGTGTGGCCTCAGGCACATTTATGGACCTCGTTTTTCCATCTGTGAATCAGGGGCATGGACACCCACCTCCTGGGGTTGATGTGGGGGTCCAGCAAGGTAACCCTGCATGTCCAGGGCTCAGATGAGTGCCCAGCCCTTGGTGGGCACAATGCAAACCTGGGAACAGTATGATTTACATGAAGAAAAGACAGAATCCTTGGAGCCTGGGGCACAGGAGCCATGCCTGGATTAGGGGGAGGCCTAGGCTAGGGATCAGGTGGTCTCTGTACCCATAAAATTGCTGACTTGCCTCCCTGATGGAGAAAGGATGAGCCCTATAAAGTGTGGAAAAAGAAACCTAAACCGCTCCACATTCTGTGGCATGAGAGATCCCTTGCAGCTTGGGGTGTCTCCCTCTGGCTCCTGTCACTCCCACCCCTTCCTTTCCTGTCCCCCATAAAAACCCTCGCCTGGCTCCCCTCAGCCCAGCAGACAGGTGGCATTTTCAAAGGCCCGTCTCTCCTGGTGAAGGGAGAACAACAGGAAAACAATTCTGGAAAATAAAAATGGCACAAAAGTTGTCGTTTCTAAAGTACAGGTTTCTGATCTGACACTGTGACCTACATAAACGATGTATTGATTTTTTAAGCAAAAGAGAAATGAGAAGAGAGATGTATCACTTGGGGCATCGCGGGGCAGGCTGCTAAGTGGCTGAGGGAAGGAGCTGTGAATGGCGTGGCCCCGTGACCCCGGCCCTGTCCCTGGCAGGGGCACCCCGGCTCTGTGAGCCAGACCAGGCTCCTGGGCCCTTGCCTCGGCTCTCACTCTGTGTGTGTGTGTGTGTGTGTGTGTGTGTGTGTGTCTATCTCTCCCTCCTTCCCGTCTGGCACTTAACCTGTGCCCCTACTATGTGTCTGAGCGGCCCTGCCCAAAGAGTGTTCACCGTCCAGCAGGAGAGGCAGGCCAATAAGTGAGTAAGTGCATGAAAGACAGTCAGTGGACCACATGCATTGGCTTTATGAGGCAAAGCGCTCACTCACCCACAGCCCCATCTTCTCCAAACCTTTATAAAGAAGGCTTGGGTCCAGAAATCTGTATTTTGTTTTATAAATAAATCTGCAGGTAATTTTGTTGCACCACCAAGTTTGGGGACCTGGGCGCTAAAGAATCATGAGTTTGTGGTCCAAGTCTGTGCAAGGCACTATGGGGACACGAAGGGGAGCATCAGGGAAGGCTTCATGGAGGAGGCGATCTTTGTTGAATCCTGACAGTAGAGTATGAACAGAGGATTGGTATGAGTGAGGTGGGGGTGCTGCAAGATGAAGGAACATCACGGGCAAAGGCACAGGTGTGACTAGTCCCTTTCAGAAACAAAGGTGTGCCAGTGGATGGAGGTAGTTGTAGAGCTGGGCTCACGCCACTTCTCTCCCAGTCCAACTCAGTTGGCTGGTGTCTCTGTGAACTCCATGGGGCTTTGTGGAACCAAGCTGAGGTCCCAGCCAGGCCAGAGTAGGTTGTCCTAGGCCTGAGTGGGTCTCACTGGGCTCCAAGGTTGGACCTTCCATCTGCACAGGAAAGTTACACTTTTTATCTTTTCGATCCTGAACTGTCAACCCTTTCTCATGGTCACCACAATGAAAGTGCTGCCGCTGATGGCCTCCTGGCCTCCTGGCCCCCAACCAGGACTGCAGCTGCTAGGTCCGACCCTCAGGAACCCCACAGTGAAGCCCTGATGGCTTGTGGGCAGCAGCAGTTTTAGATGGTCTTTTGGGGGCTCCCAGAGTATATCAGATGTCCCAGAGACAGAGTCTTACTCTCTCTCTGATCCATAAATGCCCACCTCAGAGTGTGGTCATGAATATTAAATGATTTAATAGATGGGTTAGCATAGTGCCTGGTAAATAGTAAGTGCTCAGTAATGTTAGCTATCGTGATTTTTTTATTCACTCATTCATTTACTCTTTTAGTCATTCATTTACCCAACTTATTCATGCATTCACCCCAATTCACTCATTAATTCGGCACAAATTCATTGCATATCTGGTCTTTGTCTATGCTGGGCTTACCTGAGCTCAAACCCCGCCTGTCACAGGTGCTGCTGAAATTCAACATAGGTTGACACAGGTCTGGGAATAAAAACACCCTCCCATTTACCTGTGAGCAGGGCCTCCCACCCAAACAAGTGACAGCAGATGGCCCCTTGGGAACGGCTTATAACCTCCAACCACACTTGAGCATCTCTCTCCCAAAATGGCGCTGAGTGTCTCAAAATTGGCACCAACCTTACAGAGCCCCAACTAGATGCCCTGTCTGAGCCTGGGGCCCACAGACAGCTGTGGCAAGTGTGAGGCTAAAGACAAAGAGACCCGCTCTTTCTAGGAATTGGCAGCAAGGAATCAGAGCCATGCATATTGATTGATTTAATCATTTATTTATGTATCTCCCTGCCTCTTCCAAAACTTATTTAAAAAAACTAATGACAGTACTAGAGGTGTTGGTTACGTGTCAAAGCAGTGACTCCCACAGGAGCTCAGAGAAGGGAGAGAACTCATGAGGCATGGAGTATCAGGGTGGGCTTCCTGGAGAAGGAGTCCATTAGGTGGGGAGAATGGCCTGAGCAAGGATTCGGCACAGCAAGTCCTCTATGGGAAGCTGAGGGAGGTGGGGCGGTCCAGGGCTGGAGCTGGCCTGCGCCCCTAGTCAGGGAAGAGCAGGAAGCCGGAGAAGACGCTATCAGAGCCCTCGGTCCCCACCATGCCATTGTAGTCGTTGACCGCCAGCCACACCTGCTCGCCCACTGGAAGCCGCAGCAGCACACCACCTGAGCTGACCTGCTTGCTGTTGGACATGTGGTCACAGAAGGTGGTCACCTTGACACCGCTGCGGTACAGCAGCACACACAGGTTGGCCGTCTGCGACGTGTGGTAGACAAAGTAGTAGAGGCCGGGGACTTTGCAGGTGAACTTGCCCGTGCTCGTGTTGTAATCCCCTTGTGGGTTGGTGACAACTGTGTTGAACTTGACCAGGTTGCCAGCTGTTGGGTACTGGGCTGTCTGCCGTGTGACTGTGAACACTGACTGGTGCTTCTGCTTGTATCTGCCCTCCTCGCCTGGCTCCCCGGGGGGCCCCATGTCTCCAGGAATCCCTGGAGGCCCAGGAGGTCCCATGGGGCCATTTTTCCCAGGAGACCCAGGTGTGCCGGCTTCTCCCTTCTGACCTTTGGGTCCTCGTGTTCCAGAGATAGCTGGGATTCCTGGGGAAAGAGCAGGTGGGAAGGCAGTGATGGGGCAGGAGACAGAGAAGAGGGACCCTGGATGGACCCTCCACGGGACACACCACCGGCGTTCGGTCTCTAGAGCATCCTTCCCCCAGATGGACCCTCCACCTCAGAAAAGTGTGTAGGGAGTAAGGAGGCGGGAATAGCTTATATGCTGGCCAGAGGGGAGGGAGATTCTAGGTCAAGCCCTGCCTCCCCTCAGACTTGCCCTCTGACCTTGGCTATGCCACCTGTCTCTTGGCCTTGGTGATGGCGAGGGAAGACCTAGCAAGCTTAGGAGGTGTCAGAGCTGGATGAGATCTCAGCATGTCAGAGGCCACGCCTGTCAGCCCATGGACAACAGCGTGTGGCCTCAGATACCTTCGGTTTGGCCTGCACAACGTTTTTTAAAAACTATTTATTTGGAGCCCAACATGAACAAATACAGACCTCACCTAAAAGCCTAGGTCCTTAGTTTTCCTTGACAAAAATCAGAAGATTGGTCAGAGGCGGATTTCCTGGAAAGCTCATGAAACTTACGTTTCAGGCCCCATTAACTTGCATCAGCCCCTTCAAGAACTTTGGCCTAATTTTATATTTATAATTGTTTTTTTTTCAACTTTTTATGTTGAAATAATTACTCACAGGATGTTGCAGAAAAATAAAAAGGACAAGGAGGTCCCATGGGCCCTTCACCTAGTTTTCCCCAACAGCACATCTCTCATAACTAAAGCACAATATCAAAACAGGGAAACAGAGACCTCCGCATACTCCACAGAGCTTCAATTTCACACGCACGATTTGGGTGTGTATAGTTGTAATACAATTGTGTAGCGTGTGCAGATGTGTATAACACCACCCTCCCTGTAATCAAATGTATCCCTAATTTTGTATTGTTTTTTCTTAAAGAGGACCTTCCACATTTTTATCGGCTTCAGAACCCCACAAAACCTGTATCTGTTCCCTGGCCAGCTTAGCACATGGGGATCACTGGATGGGGTCAAAGAGAAGCTGCCCCCTTAAGGGGGATGCTCTCTTCAGCTCTGCCAGCCCCCCTCAGCCCACTTTAGCTCCTTATGACAACAGCTGGCCTGGTTCAACTTCCCTCGTGTGGAAGATGAGGAAATTGAGGCCAGAGGCTTGCCCAAGGCCATGTAAGGTGATACAAGGTAAAGTCAGGACTCAAAACCAAGCCTGGCTGAATCTTAGTCAAAGTGTCTGATTCTTGTTACGGCCCTGATCATCTGACCTTCCGTGAAATGTTTCTCTCCTCATCCAAACCATACTCGTCTTTTAGGGCCTGGCTCCAGTCTCCTCTTCCAGGAAGCCCTCTCTGACCACCCCTCCCTGCCCTCATGGCTGCTTCCTCTCCTGACTTCCTTAGGGGTGGGTGTCTGTGCAGACCTATTTGTGAGAGATCCTCTATGTGGCTTGTGAATCTTTTAGGTCCGTCCCAAGGTTAGGAGAGGAAGATCCAGCAGATCCCCCCCCCCTAAGCTTCAAGCTGCTTGACCCTGGGCAGGTGACCTCCCCTCCCTGAGCCTCTGTGTGCCCAGTTGAGATCAGGGCATCATCCACAGAGCCACTGGAGGCGTGGGGTGGGAGAAGGTCTGTGCTGGCCCCTCACAAGGAGTGCTCAGTAATGTCAGGTCCCTGCGATAGCTGTCAGATGCTGAGCGGGACCCTGTGTCATCCTTTGAGGTGTCTTCCCGCAGCTGATTGGAGGGGGCAGGACACAGAGTGGGGAGAGGGGCCTGAGGGGCAGTGGAAGGTAATGGTTAAAGGCGTGGCCTTTGGAATTGAACAGGATTCTTCAGTGTGACTTCAGGAAAATTGCCCAATCTCTCTGAACCTTCGTGTTGACACTTATAAAATGGGAGTAAATTCAGTTCTTCAAAAGATTTTGGCCTACGTTGTCTCATTTGCAAAATAGAGGTAACATTTTTATCTGTTCCATAAGATACATATATGTAGAGCGTTTGGAGCTCTGCCTGGCATAAGGAGCTCAAAAATTGGTGGCCCTCAGCCACCCTGAGCAGTGAGATGGCCTGAGGCAGCTTGAAGTACAGGGTCCAGAAAAACGGCAGACCTGGGGTTCTCATTCAGCTCACTCTGAACCTGAGCATTCCTTCTGGAATGTGGATAGAATTCCACAATATTGCCAGGAGGGAAGAAAACAGTGAGGAAATTCCTAAGGGCGTTCCTGTCCACTGCCCCCCCCCCACTGTCCCCCTAGCCACGCCCCATCACCTCTGCCCAAACCCACCTCAACCTCACACATGCCACCTCCAGACACACTCCGCCTCCCAGTAGGCACCCGCTCTCAAGCTAGGCCCCCCAAAACACCAGCCCCGCTCATGTCCTCAGCCCCCTTCGCACACGCTGGGGCTTGCCTTTGAATCTCCAACGGAAACTTCTGTGGCTGGGATCCTGACCTCTCACTCCCCGCCCCTCTACCTACCCAGATCCTTGGGCGGGAGGGGAGCACAGATCTCTGGTAAAAACAATGATAGTAGCTATAACAGCCACAGCCTACTCTTACCCGGTACCTACCATGCGCTTAATACTGTTTTATATTTAAACTTATTTAATCATCACAGCACCCTTGTGCAGTAGGGACCACCATTTCCCCCATTTTACAGGTGAGGAAACAGAGGCACTCCAGGGTTAAGTCACTTTCACAAGTTCATAGGGTGGGAATTGGTGGGGCTGGGTTTTGAACCCGAGGGGGGGTGTCTGTGCATTGTATACACTCACTGGGTGGGCCCCACCTTCCCCCAGGAGTCCATGTTGTAGGGCAGGTAGTAAAGGGGTTGTAATAAAACAGTAGCCTAGCATTTTAGAGTTTGCCAAAGGTTTCACATGGATCATGTCCTGCCTGCCTGCCGCCATCTGGGGCAGGTGCTCGTATTCTCTCCCCGCTATCAGGTGGAACCGGGGAGGCCTGAGGCCTATGCTCTGAGGGCAGAGGGGCTCCACCTGCCATGAGAGTTGGACTCTGCCCTGGGAGCAGGTGTAGCGGGAGGGACCACACTCCTTGCTCTCAAGCTGCTGTCCCCCTCCCCCCAGGTCAGCCCACCTCTGCCCCCAGGCCCTAGGTGGCTCCCCGCCCACCAGGCCGGCGGACTCACCGGGTTCACCCTTGGGCCCTTGTAGTCCGTCGTGCCCATCCTTCCCTGGGGTCCCGGGCAGGCCTGGCATTCCGGGGATCCCGTAGCATTGTTCGCTGGCCTGGCCCCCAAATGGCAGTACAAGCAGGAGTAGCAGCAGGTTTAGGCCCAGGGGGGCCCAGGAGCTGGAGCCCCTGTCCATCCTGGGGAGAGAGCTGAGGTGGCCCCCCCAGCGCAGCACGATGTCACCCCCCTCTCCACCTCCCTCCCTTCCCCAGGCCCCTGAGCCCTTGGGCCCACAGGATGGAGGGAGAGCGGGGTCTCTTCCTTGAGCGCAGGCACCTAGCTCAGCAGGGATGGGACCCCCCTCCCTCTCACATATCAGGCTGTCCCCGGGGCCATGATTCAGGAAGCCGGTGGGGGAAAACTGCCATTGTTCTTGCCTGGACAGGGGTCTTGGCCTCACCTGGGGAATGGGAGGTTTCTGGTCTGGTCGCAGAGATGTCCTCAGATCTGCGTCCCCTCTTCCAGGCAGGAGGACACCATGTCAGAGTAGACACGGCAAGGAGGGCCCAGAGCAGACTGGGCGGCCCCCTCTCCTCCCCCTCCCCCCAATCCCACATCCCCTTTCCCATAATTTTTCCTGACTCAGTACTTTCTTTTGCGTGCTGAGCGAGGCTGACCGCAGTGATGCCCCCGTGTACCCACACCCCTGGGTCATGAGTGTCTGAAATGAGGAAATGTCCTCTGCCCCGGATCTGGTGAAGGGTAGAGTGTGTGTGTGAGCATAAGCCTCCTGGGCAGACTTCCCCTAGAGTCAAGTCCAGCCCCATCTGATATCCATCCCCATTTGTTGGCACTTATTGTGCCCAGACACAGCTGTGTCACAACATCCTTAGGAGGAAGTGATAACCCCCTTTACAGATGAGGAAACTGAGGTTCAGAGAGGGGAAGTCTTTGCCCAAAGTCACAAAATGAGTGGTTTCTTGGGGTCCAAAGCCTTGCTCTGACCCCTCTGCGTAGCTGCCCCCAGAAACAAGCCTCATATGCACTTGTCAAGTGGCAGACCTTATTCTAGAAACTTCCATATGCCCCCTCCCATTTGCCATAGGTGGGGGTGGATGATCAGAATGGGCCAGCTTTGATGACAGGAACCTGTTGTAGTGGACAGACTCCCTGGGCTGCAGAGTCAGCAGCCTCGGGGCCTCCTTCCAGCCTTGCCACCCTCTTGTCCTGAGGCCTTCAGCAGACCACTGACCCCTCCAGGCCTCAGTCTTCCCATCTGTATACTGGGTGGTGTGGGAGGCTTTGTATGTTGGCACTGCTTCCTTTGCCAGGGCCCTTGAAGACCTCACCTTCCCCGCCAGCACTGCCTCCCTCACCTCCAGTACCCCTGCCTCTGGTCTTGGAGTCTGTTATGGCCTGTGAGCGGTTGCCAGTCAGAGCTGGGCTGGCAGAGCTGGGAGAGGCCCCCTTTCCTCTTTTCCTCTTTTCCTCATTTGAGATTTCCGGGAGGAAGGAGGTGTTAGGCTGTAGAGGAGTGCAACCCTGACCCCACTCCTGCCATCCAGCTCACTCGGGGTGAGTGGTTTGACCTCCCTGAGCCTAGGATCCTCCTCTATAAATGAGGGGTTCCAATAGCTCCCCTGCAGGGCAGTGGCGAGGACTCTGTGATGCATACGATGCTTAGCCCCATGCTATGCTCAGAGGCCTGCCTCTCCCCTGCGATTGACCCTCAGGACCTCAGTCTCCCCATTGATCCCTCTACCCTCCTGCACGGGGCTGCAGCGTGTGGGAGGAGAGCAAGGACGTAAATGCACTTGGCCCTGGGATTCCCCAGGGGTGGGAGTGGGGGCAGGGGGACTGACTGGCTGGACGGCACCTGAGCTCCTATCTTCCTCACCTCCTTTGCGCCTGGGTCTAGTTTGTCCAGCAGATGGCAGCCTCGGCCTGTGCTCAGCCCTTCCCTGCCCCGCCTGCCTGGCCCAGCTAGGTCTCCTCCTCCCAGAGCAGCCAGTGATTTGCCTCCACAGAAGTGGGTAGGTATGGGTGGAATTTAGGGTAAGGAGCAGCCCCCACCCACCATCTCTGTAGCCTGGACTCTCCTGCCACGAATGGGTCCTCCACCCCTGACATTTTCTTTGCGTCCCACTGCAATGAAAGAAGCCCTCCACTTTGGGGTACAGTAGAGCTGATTCAAATCTAGGCCCTGCCGCTTTCTAGCAGCGTGACCTTGGGCAGATGTCTCCTTTCTCTGAGCCTCAGTGTACTCATCGATTTTGCTGGGATTAAATGCATCAATGGTTATGAAAAGTCCAGCACATAGTAGGTGCTCAAAGATCTGTTTCTTTTCCCAGTCCATGGGTGTGTGTGTTTTGGGGAACAAGGGGAGGTCTGTGGCAGACTGGAAACCCAAGGGGGACGGAGGAGCTGTGCATAGTCCAGCACGGCCCCAGGGCTACAGAGGGGTCACTTTCTTCTTCCTGACCCCCAAAGCCTGTCGGTGGGGCAGCCCCAGGAGAGGGTCTTGGGTGGATGTCGGGGGCTGGGTGTAGGGAGCTGTGCGTATGTTGCGGACCCTGAGGCTGCTCGTGTGTCAGTTATGGATGGGAGAGACAGTCCCCGTGGGAGTGTCACAGTACGTAGAGCTCAGTGTGTGAGAGAACATGGGCATTTCTAAGGCATGTGCATGTTGGAAGGAGAGGAAGGTGTGTACACCTGTGTGTCTGTGGAGTGTCTGGGGCACGCGTCTCAAGGTTTGTATGTAAGAGTATTCCTGATGGTTTACAGGGGGCTCTCAGGTGTCTGAGGCAGGGGTATGTGTGTATGATGGCACTTATATCCCCAGGTGTGTCTTGTGGGTTTGAAGGCATAAGTCATGTGGTTGTGTCCAGGGGTGTGCAGGAAAGGGTCTAAGGGAGCGAGTATGTACCGAGGGAGATCATTGTGTCCATGTGTCAGTGAGGGGCGGATGAGCTTTGGTCCAGGAATATGGGCCCACATACATCTTGAAGGAGGTAAGTGCCACCATCCCAGTCCCCAGCTCAGGCAGGATGCCCAGCAGGCAGCAGCCCCCGCCTCCATACCTGCCAGGGTGGGAGCCCAGGACTGGGCTCAGGAAACTGCCTTCGGGGAGGACTCCTGGGTGCCCTTCGGCCAATTGCTCCCCCTCTCTGAGCCCAGCCCTCGCCTTTCTGGCTCAGGGTTGGAAATCATGTGTGTCATTTGTCAGTCGTGTGGCTGTGGAGGCTGGGAAGGGTAACAGTGAAACCTAGGCTTGGGCATTCGTAAAACTTGGGATCAAATCCTAGCTCCTCCGCATAAAAACACTGACCTGGGCTTTATGTCCGCCTCAACCCCCAGCCTCAGTTTCATTATCTGTAAAATAATGGGTCATAACACCAACCTCAGAGCTCCATTGTAAAGATTATACAAAATATAATAATAGCTAAAATGTGTGTAGCCCTTACGATAAACCAGGCACTGCTCTGCAATTTTCATATATTAAGCTGTTTAATCCTTCCAACTACCCTTTGAGGTAAGTGCCATTATTATTCCCACTTTACAGACTAGGAAACTGAGGTTCACTGAAGTCATATAACATGCGCACAATTGCACAATTAGTAAATGGTGGCCCCGGGATTTGAACCCAGGTCGATGAGGCCCCCAGGACCTGCCAAATACATAGTGTAAAATACTGAATACAGGCCTGCCTTGCAAGCACTCAATAATTGTCGTTCTTATGCCTCCTTCCCAATGCCCAGGATAGCAACTGAACCTCAGGCCAGCACAGACAGACTCAGGTATTTATTCCAGGAAGGGTTCTAAGAAATGATCTCTCTTCGGCTAAAACAACAGCATCCTCACTTGACAGAGCAGAGCATAGACACAGAGAGGTGGAGTGAGCGGGGCCATGTCACACACACGGCAGGGAGCAGAGGAGGCCACGCTTGGGAGCGGGGTCCTTCCCTGGTTCAGGAGGACGGGAAGATGAGGAAGCCGCTGAAGACACTGTCCGCCTCTGAACCCTGGTAAATGCGGCCCTTCATGGGGTCTTTTTCGATCCACACCTGGTCTCCTTGCTGGAGCTGGACCACCGTGCTCCCAGACAGCACCTGGAAAGTTCCCCTGCTGTTGGTGTCACAGAAGCCCAAGGAACGCGGGGGCTGGCCCCTCCTGGTGTACATGATGGACAGACAGATGTCCCACTTGGACACCACCTGGAAGGTGAAGTAGTAGTAGCCCGACACTCCACAGAGAAATCGGCCTGAGTTGCTGTGGTACCGGCCTTCCTCATTGGTGATGACCACGTCGAAGATGACCACGTTGCCGCCCGTGGGCGGGTTCCGCCTCACCGCCGAGAAGGCTGGCCGCGGCTGGTCATTGATGTCTCCTGGGTTGCCTTTGGTGCCCTTCAATCCTGGGACGCCACGGGCACCCAAGGGGCCACTGGGCCCTGGGTAGCCCATTTTACCAGGGCTTCCAGGGGGCCCAGGGTCCCCCTCATCTCCTTTAAGGCCTCGGATGCCTGTCCGGATGCCAGGGGCCCCTGTGGGGAGAAAGGCCAGGTTGGGAGTGAGAGTCTAGTGTTTGCCCATCCTCAGAGAGATGGCTGGGACCCTGAAATGCTGTGGGATAGAGGATAGGGAAGTGCCTGGGCCTTCAAAACATTGATTCTGGCTGACTGTGTGACCTTGGGCAAGTGTCTCGACCACTCTGAGTCTCTGCTTCTCTATATAGTGGAGAGAAGCGTAAACAGGCACGTGTGACTATGTCAGATTCTGTGAAAAGCAGGACACTGGCTCCTCTGTGGTGCTCCTGCCCACGGCTGTGCACTCCACGCCACCTGGCCATTGACCCTGACCTCGTCACTTTTGGGAACTACACGTAGGATGCCTGAATGCAAATTGCTGCAAAGGTCTCTGCAGATCTCTCTGGTCTGCTGTGGACTGGGACGCTTGGGGAGATTCCATGAGACTTTCCTGTCCCACTCTGCTTATGTCCTCCCCTCTTTTCCTTCATCCTCAAGCTTTTTTCTTGAATGGGAGAGTTTCTGAAGCCTGAAGGGGCTGGGGAGAGGGAAGCAGGGGACAGAGTTGGGGGTGGTGGAAAGAAGCAAAAAGGATAGTTGCTATTAATTGATCCCTCTTTATGTGCCAGCTAGGGTTATTACTCTATTTTACAGATGAAGAAACTGAGTCTCAGAGAGAGTCAGTGACTTACTCAAGGTCACACAGCAAGCAAGACAAGAGCTCCTGAGTCTAAAGTCTAGAGCATTAATCGTTCTGACAACTGAACAATGACAAAGGTCTGGGCACCACTTCAGGACAATTATTATTCATCGCTTGCAGCAACCGATTCTCCAGAGAAGGAAGGTGACCAAAGAAAGAGGACCCAGGCAGTAAACGGGATATGGAGAGGCCTGGGCCCCTGCGAACATGGCCCAGGGAGACGTCTAGGCTCTCCTCAGCCCCTGGGACCGAGTTCAGGCTGGAGGGGCTTTCTGTGGGGGACCCAGGTGGACTCCTGCTTCTCAGTGCCACCCTCAAGACTCCACCCTGGAAGCCAGGCCAGGCCAGGCCAAGGGATGAGGGGCTGGGGTCCCGGGAGAGGTGCTTACCTGGGTCCCCTCGCTGCCCCTTGAGGCCTGCCCTCCCAGGTCGGCCAGGTGTTCCTGCAGCCCCGTCTTTCCCATTCGGTGCTCGGCACACATTCTGGGTCACCGTAGAGGTCAGGGACACGGCCAGCGCACAGAACACCAGCCACCGCTTGGGATTCATGATGCCACTGTGGAGACACGGCCGCGCACGGGCAGGCTGGACATCACACAGTCATGCACGCCCAGCTCACACACTTGAGTCCTACACACAGTGATACGTACTCATCCCCACCACTGCCGCCACCAGCGCACCGCTTCCTTCTCCAGGAACTTCAACGTCCACGCTCCATCCAGCTCCAGGGAACCCACATGTATATATAGAACCACAAACTCACACAGATACATACTTGCAACTGAGAGCACCCATAGTCACACACTCAGACACACCAACAGCCTCTCACCCACACACTCCTGGACACACTGACACCCAGATAGACTCCATCCCTTACTCACCTGAACACACCTGCCATATACTCCCACAGATGATCAATTCCATTGAACAAATATTTATTGAGCCTGCTCTTTATTTAATTGACACTCTCTCACCCAGACAGCAGAGCTATGCATACACACAGATACAACACATTACTCACCCCTTACACACTTCGCTCCTTTCAGGCTGTCTGCCACCCACTGTCCCCTCTGTGGACCCCTCTACTAGAGGGCTCTGAACCTCCCAGTCTTTTCCCAGCTTCTTGTGTTTTGTGGGGCCAGGACCCAGGAACTCTGGGACTCTGGCTAGAGCTGATGGGCCTGTGTCACCACCTCCTAGCTTCCCCCAAAGTCCAAGGAGTTAAGGTCCCCTCACTCCCTGATTCTGGGTCCTGGATCAGTGCCCCACCTAATCCCGTTCTGGCACAGACTAGCTGGCAGTGCCCTCCCTCCCTCCCTCCCTGCCTCAGTTGTCCAGCCTCCTAGGTCTGCTCCCTGGTCCCCTGAACTTCACAGCCCCCTCGCACTCGGGCACTAACCTCACCTGGCTGCCGTGGTCAACTCGACTGCTCCTGCCGTCCACCCGGGGACCCCTGTGGGACACTGAGCAGGGCGGTGCCGGCCAGTGGCCAAGTTTCACATCCCTTCCCGCTTCCCTTTTCCTTCTCTGGACCTGCCCCTGGCATTGCCCCAGGGGCCAGAGGCCCTCCAGGGACATTTTGAGCAGACCTCAGCAAGACTGGGACATTGGACATCCTACCCCAAGCCACAGCTGATGTGGGGGCAGGGACAGCAAGGCAAAAGTTTTTCAGGATTGTGAAAACAACATGTATTCATTGTGAAAAACTTATAAATACGGAAAAGCACAAAGAAAGAAGAAGAGTACTGAGCTTCTTACGAGAAGCTCAGTAATCAGCTTTCTAGACCTGCCACTTCTTAGCTGCATGTCCTTGGAAGGACACTTAACCTCCAGGGACCTTGGCTTTCTTTCTTTCTTTTTTTCTTTTTTACAATTAAAGACATATAATTAAGGATGGGTTGTCTAGCAATTGTTTACCTTTGTTCATGTTAGTTGATTAACACCCTGGCTTAGAAAATGTAATCAAGTAACCATTGCTGAAATTCATTCATTCAACGAACATTTACAGGGTGTCTAGGGCCTTGGTTTTCTTATTCATAAACTGAGAACAACAGACTCTACCTTATTGGGTTACTGTGAAGTTTTAATGACATCATACACATACAAAACAAGGGGTTCATGACAAACACTTAATAATTCGCTTTTTTTTTAAGATTTTTATTGGGGTATTGGGGGGAAGGGAACAGTGCTGGGGAATTGGGGGAAGGGGAACAGACAAGTTGCTGTCCTTTTGTTCTTCAGTCTAGTTGTGGAGGACGTTGCTTCACTGGCCCAAGTTGGCACCATCATTGCGCTCTTCCCGGACAAGGCACATCAGTCACCGGCTTCTGGACGGCCGCTCACTGCGGCTGCTGGCCGCTCACGCTGGCTGCTGGTTACACACGGTAGCCCATGGCAACCCACTGCCACAGGGGCTGCAGCCTACGCCATCGCAGTCGACTCACAGCAGCCCAGCTCCAGGTTGAGCTGTCGTTCAGCATCTTAGCTGTGGAGGGCAGTGTCACTGGCTCTCATATGTGGGATCCGTACCGGGGCCCTCTGGCGTCCCAAGCCAGTTCTTAACCATCGTGCCACTCGGCCGGCCCAATAATTAGCTTTTATCAACATCTGAAAATCTGACAAAAGTGCACAAATTCTACTATCTGGAGACTTGCTGTTAACATTGGTTGGAGCATCTAACCTTACTTACTCTCCCTGACAAGGTGCTCAGTCCCTGCCAGCGCAGCTCCTTTCGTCCTTGCCAGCTTTGACTCTGAGAACACTTTTCTTTAGATTGAGTGACTCTGTCTCTTCCAGACTAGAGACCGATGTGTTCATGCTTGGGCTGACCATGTCTTTCTGCTTCTTCTCGTGACTGTGGGCTTTAATTTTTTTCTGAGATTTTCACAGGAGAGAAGAGGAGAGGCAAAAAAGGAGGAGAAAAGGGAAGGCTGCTGTACGTGGGCAGATGAAGATGGCCGAGGGCAGGGGTTTTCAAGCTTTGGGGACTTCTTTTTCGTTTGCAATCTTATGTGCCACCCAACAGATATTCAACAGATACAAATGAGGATGCTTTGGTTTAAGAAAGGGGAAACCAGAGCTGCTCCTGCCAGCCTCTCTCTTGCTCCCTGGGATTCAGGAAGTTAGGAGAAAATCAGTGTGACCTTGGGCAAGCCACATCATTCCTCTGGACCTCAGTTTCTTTATCTGTAAAATGGGACAAAGAGCCCCCTGACTGGGCTGCTGAGGGATTATGTAAATTCATGAGGTTTATACCGTCCAACACCACATTAAAATAAATCATCGTTATGAATAATATCTGTGTGACCTTGGACATATTACCTAACCTCTCTGAGCCTCATTTTCTCCATCTATCAAGACAAAGGAGTGGGTGGGAGGCAGGAAGGTTTGCCCCACATGATCCGTAACATCCCTTCCAGCATCCATCTTTTTTGATGGCATCATGTCAGTCTTGCTTCTCTGTGAGAGGAGTTAGAAATATCACGTCAGAGTCAGAACGGCCACCCCCACCGCTCCCATTTTATAGATGAAGAAACTAACAACCAAAGACAGAAGGACTCGCCCCCACAGAAAGTGGCCTAATCGGCAGGGGGGAAAGCCAAATACTGTGAAAGGCTTCTCACAGTCTAGTTTTCAAAATATTAAATACACAAATCTCATAGGAACATATCGTGAGCATACGTTAGTGTTATTTGTAGCTTAAGGAACCAGCAGGATGACAAAGGTGGTTAGTTTAATGAAGAATCTGAGAAAAAAACATTTATATACGCCTACCTGTGGAGAGAGAAGAGAGGAGTTCAGTAGAAACAAAACCAACAATAACAACCCCCAAAAAAGAACCCTGGAGTCTTCATAAGGTTGCTAAGTTAGATACAAAACTGGTTAATGTTCTACAGGGCAATAAATCCTAACTGTTGAGGTTATCTTCTCTATTGAAAAAACATTTGCAGCCTGGCTGAGTGGCTTAGTTGGTTAAGAGTTAGCTTAAGAGCACGAGTTCTGAGCAACAGGGCTGCGAGTTTGATTCCCACATGGACCAGTGACGCTGTGCCCAAGCTGAGCTGCTGCTAAACTGCCAACAGGTGGCAGGATGGCTCAGCTGGTGAGAGCACATGCTCCTAGCAATAAGACTGCCTGTTTGATGGTGGGCTATGCCCGCCC